AGCAAATTACCGTTGGCCCAATATTATTTGCTAACAATGGCTCAACTTACAAAAAGGACATTTGTCCAATATTGAAAGAATGCATTGGCCCAAAAGTGCCCCAATTTTGTCTGTTGCATTGGCCCAACAATAAGCCAACAATTTGGTCTGATTAAGGGCCGATTAGCACATTACGGTTGGCCCAATGTTAAATGCATACGGTGCCCCACCATAAGGAGCATTGTTGGCCCAACAAAGGTCCAATAACATCCTGCTATCTGAGAAGTTAATTCAAGGTTTAATTTAATCAATTATATTTGAATGGAAGAATAAAAAAAATGTGAGAATTTTCTTCCTCTGGAGTACTTTACCTTTAATATAATTGTAAATCTTATTCATGAATGTACTGGTATTGTATAATATTATTTTAAAAAATGTATTAAGCAATAGACTACAACTGATGTTATATTTATAACAAATGCGTTCCCAATGTTAGTCTCAAATGTTTTTTGTTAAAACGATCAAATAATATCTAATTTAATGATATTTACAAGAAAATTAAGCCTTTGTCGGAAATTAAGTCCCAATTACAACTCTAACGTTATGCTTTTCTCAAAATATTTTGAATTAAGATTTAATCTGAAAATATTTCAATTAAGATTGCTTATGAAAAAGTAGTGGGTGACTTTTCTTTTGAAAAAAAAATCATGCAAAGTAATCATCATATCTATTAGAATAATCAGATATTGCCAATTGAATATACAGACGTGGCGACCCTCAGATAAATTATTTTTTTTAACTAGCTTGCACCTACCGAGTTCCGTAAGAAGAGGGTATTAGAATAAAATTTTTAAAGGGTATGTTTGTAAAACTGTTTGAGTATACTCCAGTTAATATGAATCGTAAACAGTTAATTTCTGTTATTGGAAAATTATTGAAGTTTATTTTATTTGACTTCACCTGGCTTAAGTATTATACACTAATTTTATCAATACTTCATAGTGTTGTACCGGGTAGGTTAAAAAATTATGTTTTTATTTCTTCTATTTCCTTCTAAAATGTTTAAGTTGAATTGAGATGAATTTGACCATAACGGATTTTTTTTCACAAGAAATTTCATAACTTTCAATTTTGATGTAAAGGCTTCGTTTTCTTTTTGTTGTAGGATTTTCATCATACATTATATGTGAAGACGCTGAACAGTCATCTACAAATGACTCTTTGGTCGCTAGTCTTAGTTGTGACGATGACATGGAAACGTACTCCCTGACCAATGATGGGAATAACCAGTCGTGGTCTGTAAAGCTGGATAAAGTGTACAGAGTTGATTGGATCTTTCTGAAAATTAATTCTGGTATTTTTTAAAAGTATATATCTGTAAAATTTGAGATCTTGATAAAAGCAGCAAAAATTTTTCATACATGAATATGAATGTTTGATTGTATACATACAGATGCATTCCAAGTCTTTGTTGACCTGAATAAAGCAGCTTCTGTAAAATGCGCGGAGGTCCTTAGACCAAGAAATACAGACACAAATACAAACACAACTTCTTCAAATCAACTAATACTATGTAAATATCCAGGCCTTTCAACAACAAAAGGCAACAGAATCAACATCATTAAAATTGGAAATGGACCACTGAAAATATTTGAAGTGAAACCAATCGGTATGTCATTTCACAGTCAAGTTAACTCATTTTATTATAATTATGTTTGTCTAATGAAAATTAATGATAACGTTTTCATTAATTTTTGTTTTTATATCCTCCATAATAAATTGCTGAAAAAAATTCGATAATATTGATGAAGTTGCAAATGATAAAAATTTAACATCATCTTTTTAGCACCTACTCCATTAATACCAAGCATAGTAAAAAAAATTTCGGATTTTTGGGAACCAGTATCCAGGGCTTTAGATGGCAACATGGACACTTACTTCCAATCAGAGAAAGGAGACAATGCTTCATGGATATTAAGATTAGACAAAAGTTATGAAATGAAATGGATTCTCGTTTCAATAAGAGGAGGTAGCTATTATTATTTTATTAATAGGGTAAATGCTTTAAACTTTAAAATTTGAGTTTTTGTACAATCATTTAATATTGAATATAATCTTTATCTTGAAAAGTTTTATTCCTGAGAAACAACTGCCTTTAATTCCAATGGAACCCACTGTTCTTTCCTCATGTTCCTTGAAATAAGTTTTAATAATATCATAAACTACGTAATACTAAATGGATAATAAAGCTTACTCTTCTTTGTTTTGCATCTTTTTTAATTATTCTAATATGTACAGATAAAATACTTTGGAAAATTCAGAGATGAGTACATCTATTTTACGGTTTTTCAAATACACTCTAACAGTAAAATACCGTAACTGATTCATTAAATAAAAGTATAGTGATAATCTGTCACAGTGTGGTAGGATTACCAAAATGAAGGGAAAATTTATGGCCTGTCACAAGATATTTGTCTTTATATGCAATGTAGTCATTATAACAATATCAACAGAGACTAAATCTGCCAAATGCTTTCCAAATATAATGTCTTCAACAACTACACTATGTTGTCACAACCTATGTCACTTGTAAGAGATAGAATTAGCGGGAAAAATTCTTGTACATATGAAAAGCAGATAGTTCAATGTTTTGTGATGGATATCGATTTTTTTCACAGCATAGATAGGGTTTTTTATATTAATTTTTCACTTTTACTTTGCACTCGTGAAAAAACAAAATGACCTTGTCCCACTCATGAAACAACATTACATTTACATGTTTACATTCGCTGTGTTTTTCTACTAAACCAACTGTGAAATTGATGTGAAAACCATTTTCTTGTATACTCACTCGTAGAAATATATACGGAACAACGTGCGTTAATGTGACGTCACAATGAGGCTGCAGCGACGTTAATAAAAATGCAACGATATAGGGCAGCGAGAAATTCAATTATTGAGTACATTTCAGTTGCTTCCAAACATGTAAAATGTAAATATAAGGAATGTTTTTTAAGTTTAGTGTGAATTATTTGTGTGTGAATCACACAGACTTGCACGTAGGCATATTTTTTATGAAGCGCTAGCTCGCTTCATGAAATATGCCTACGTGACAAGTCTGTGTGATTCACACACCAATAACTCACACAAAACTTAAAAACATTCCTTAAACGTAAACTTGTTTGTTTATCTTGGATATAATTTTGATTTATAACTTAACCTATACCATGGACTTCTACAACATTTTCCCTATATATATATATATATATATATATATATATATATATATATATATATATATATATATATATATATATATATATATATATATATATATATATATATATATATATGACAATTAATAATTTTTATTATGTTTAACTAGGTACTTATGAAGTGCACATTAAAGAAAGTAATACACCCATGAATGATTTAACGCTATGCCAGTCATTCACTCTGTTTGGCTTAATACACATGTACCACAGAAGAAGACATTAGAGTGTCACAGAGAAATGACAGGAGATACCATTGTTATCAATAGGACATATATATATGAAAGCGCACTGAGACTGCATGTTTGAAGTGTATCCAATAAGTAAGCATGAAGCTTTGCTTTTCACTTTTTCTCATCATTAGATTCTAAAAAGAATATTATTGAAGAGAAAATTCATTACATCTTGCGCTAACGACTATCAAACATTCATAACAAGGGAAGCAAAAAAATAGCATAGCTTGTATGTTAAATTATTTGCACAATGCCAGAATCATTTATCATTCAGTTTCTTTTTTAATTACAGTTTGTTCTTCAAGCCACAATAGACCAAACTGCGCTAAATGTAGAAGTGAGTGCGAGTCGTGTAATTCAATAACTGGTGTGTGTGTGATCAATGTCCAAGGTCCTTCTATAGTGACTTTTGTCAACTACGGTTTCCAGCAAAGTGTCAAAACATAATATGTGACCAAGCTACAGAAGCCCCTACCAATTGTAAGTTTTGGTTTTATGGAAGAAGTTGTGAGCAAGAGATTACAACAGTTTCTTTATGACAAGGTTTCCATTAACTTAAGGTTCATTTGCTTATCTGATTGGAGAAATGAAGTAATAATGTGTCAAAACTTTTTTTTAAGCGTCTCTTATTCTTATTAATGTGATATGCATTTTGTAACAAGTATTATGAAAGAATGGTAGGGGAATTTTAAAATCCGTATAAGAATCTAAAATTCTCTGCTTTTATGTATAATCATATTCATTCATCAATCGCTTATGTACAACAAAGTTAAATTTTTTTTTCCGAAAGAATGAAAAATGCGTACCAAAAACGATAAAAAAAAAATCAAAAGGTTTGTTTTAAATGACATTAGAAGAGAAGAGGAACGTTATATGAAGAATATAAAGGTATGTGGATAACTTTTTCAATCTCATATATGTAGTAAAGACTGTAGATCGTACACAGTTTTTTTTAAAGCTTTTCATATATATGTAATGAATACAATTATGTCATGCATGGACTTATTTGTAGTTTTGTGTTTTTGCCCTCCAATAAATTTAGCGCTAAATTTTATGTTTTCTGAATGATAACTTTTATTTTACAAACAATTGTCTTAATTGAGCGCATTTTTCTGTAATTAAACAACAATGAATTGGGTGCGGATAAGGCAATATCAAAGGTGAACATGAAACACGAAAAGGACAAAAATACATACTCGTTTACATTTTAACGCATGAACAGGACGGAAGTCCAGTAATTCAATTTCCAGTCATTATCAAACTTGTAAAAATCATCCAAAAAGAATTTTGATAAATTTCAGGAAGATTGTTAATTTTATCTATTTTTTCTCTCTAACTATTCCAATTCTTTAAAGTGATTGAAAAGTTATGAAACTCGACGATGTTTGGATGAAATTTTTAACGCTTATTTTGCCAATAATAAATAGTTTTGGAAGAGGTATGTAATTTTAAATGTTTCGATACATTTTTATTTGATCTAAGATTTCTTCAGTTAAATTTGAATTCTTACGGCCTGGATTTTCTTCTTATTTTTTTCTTTAGCTTAAAGACATTAGCAGTAAATAGAGTATCATTTTCAAAATATTGCTTTTTATTCAGAAGTGAATTACTTTATTAAACGACGAATTGTCACATTTATTTGCTTTAGGAATTTTATCTCAAATAATATGTGAAGAAGCTGAACAATCCTCTACAAATGGCTCGTTTGTCGCCAGTCTGGGTTGTGATAATGACATGGAAACATACTCCCTGACCAATGATGACAATAATCAGTCGTGGTCTGTCAAGCTGGATAATGTTTACAGAGTTGATTGGATCTTTCTTAAAACTAATTCTGGTATGAAATATTTTTTCTAAGTATATTTCTGTAAAATGTGAGTTCTTGATAAAAGCCACTGAATTTTTCAAACAATGTCATATATTTAATGTTTTGATTGCATACATACAGATGCATTCCAAGTCTTCATTGGCCTAAATGAAACAGCTCTTGTGAAGTGCATGGAGGTCCTCAGGCCTAGATATACAAACAGAGAACTTTGGCATCAACTAATATTGTGTCAATATCCAGGTCTTTCAACGTCAAAAGGCTACAAAATCACCATCATTGGAAATGGACCATTGAAAGTGTTTGAAATGAAGCCAATTGGTATACATTTCATTAAGGCCTAATAGAATTATTTAATATGTTTGTCCTATCAGAATTTAATCCACTTCTACATGTTGTATATTACTCAATATTTTTTTGGTGTCCTCTATAATAAATTAGGGGAAATGATTGAAGTATAATAATTATTAAAAATGTGGAATATCATGGATAATGAGAAATTAAACGATGAAAACTTTTCACAATTTTTAGCACTTTTTCCATTCAGACCAAATCTGGTACAGAATTTTTCGGATTTTGGGGAACCAGTATCCAGAGCTTTAGATGGCAATATAGACACTTACTTCCAATCAGAGAAAGGAGACAACACTTCATGGATATTAAGATTAGATAGACGCTATGAAATAAAGTGGATTTTGTTATCAATTAGAGGTGGTAAATATCAAGTTGAATGTATAATATTTGAGAAAATTGAAGTTGTGTTCAATCAAAAGTAAAGCACTTGAAATATCCTTTTTCTAAAGTTGGTTTTGTACGTGTTATACCCGGTATATAATTTATATGCTTATAGGACAAAAAAGTGTGTTTTTCTCCAAATAAGGTTTCTAACATATATTTTTACTAAAGACAAAGGTTTATTTTTTCGACTTTATGAATCCCCTTAAGAATATAACCAAAGCAATGTTTATACATAATTTTACAATAATTATTACTAATTTATATGATTAACAAAATACAAGTGGGCTTGTGTGTCCCCATAACTGATATTGGTCTCAACAGACAACCTGCTCTTTAAATCAATGATTTTTATGTGTGTAGACTTTATTTATGTCAGAATGCCACTCTTGATATGATAATTGATGAACTATTCTTTCAGTTTGTATAATGTTATATTGATAAGGTACTTATGAAGTTCACATTAAAGATAGCGATACAGAAATGAATTCTCTAACGCTGTGCCAGTCATTCACCCTGTTTGGATTAAATGAACAGAAGAAAGCAATAGAGTGTCATAAGAAAATGACAGGAGATACAATTGTTATCAAGAGGACGGATGAAGGCGCACTGAGACTGTTTGAAGTGTATCCAATAAGTAAGTGTCAGGTGATGCTTTATCCATAAAAGTATAACTATAATTGTAACTTACAAAATTATGTCATTAGATGTATTAATATTCCGTGATTAGGCAACTTACATGTATCATGAAACATATGGAGATAACGAACAGTATTCAAGATGAAAAATCCATAAAACAGTACAAACAGGAGCAGAGCAAACATGGACCTCCTAAACATCGAAGGTGGGATCAGGTACCATTTAGGAGTGAGCATCCCCTGCCGACCGGTCACACCCGCCGCGTGCTCCTTGTCATGATCGGGAATTCACGGAAAAATCCGTCGTCAACGCAGTGTATAAATAATGAACCGGACAAACAATTAGTATGATAAATGTCAATCAGCATTTGACTCAATGATTAATTGCTGACAAGGTCATTGTATCGGCCATTGAAGTTACGAAATGATGACTTTAAACGAGACTCCTGATAATTGTTTGTCAATAATTTACCTTTTTAGAAACTATTCATACATAATGCATGCTCTTGCGTATCGAATTAATTGAGATACATAAACTCCGTATGCAGGTTATGAAGGTATATTGCTGCCTAAGTAAGGGAAGTGGACTATAGAAAAGTTAGGGTCAACACGTTTATCATAGAACTTGGTTGTTAAATCACCATTTACGCCTTTTTCAAATAAAATTTCCAAGTATGAAACAGATGTGTCAGACTCTGTAGTATCTTTTATCTCAAGCACCAGGATATATCGTATCTACGTAGGAATGGAAATTACCATTGTTAATTGATTATACGATATATCTAAATGTCGAGTTGAAGGCCACAGCAAGTGTTTTCTTCTTCTCACGCAAAAAATGTTGCACAAGTTCTGCTTCATATGAATATAAAAATAGGTCTGCTAATAACGAATCGCATAGCTGATATTCTAAACCATTAGTACAATGTTAGAATCATTTATCATTTAGTTTCTTTTTTAATTACAGTTTGTTCTTTAAACCACTATGGACCAAGCTGCGCTAAATGTAAAAATGAGTGTGAGTCGTGTAGTCAAATAACTGGCGTGTGTGATAAATGTCAAAGATCTTTCTACGGCGACTTCTGTCAGCTCAGGTGCCCAGCAAACTGTCACAACATGATATGTGACCAAGCAACAGGAGCCTGTGACAATTGTTTGGATGGATTTTATGGAAGGAGATGTGATCAGGAGATTACAACAGTTTTTACATTACAAGGTTTCTATTAAGGATTTATTTTCTTATCTACATGGGAATATGATTGATTGATTAATTGATTAGTTGTATGTTGTTTTAAGACCCATTCAAGAATATTTCACCCATATAGATACAGCTAAAAAATGAAAAAAAGAATGTTAAAGCTTATTTTTTGAAAGGAAACTAATTCATATTGATGTAATATGTATAATGTCGTAACAAATATAATGAAAAATGGCGGGGGAATTATTAAATACGGATGGTGTTACCTACTGGGTATATTAGACATTTGCTGAATGCAGCATCCTTCTGAAAAACGGATTTAACGATAACCAAAGATGAAGCCTAAAAATAACATCTTAATTCCTTTATGTCTGTAAACGTATTCATTCACCAATTGCTTGCGTACAACTAAGTTGAAGGTTTTTTCCGAAAGAATAAAAACACACGTTATAAAACGATCCAAATTAAAGAAGGTTTGTTATAAATGATATTGGAAGAGAATAACGTTGTATGAAGACTATAACGGTATGTGGATAACTTTTTTAAAATCTCATATATGTAGACTAAATATCGTACTGTGTACACAGTTTTTAGAGATTTTTCTTCATGTATATGATGATTACAGTTATGACATGCATGGGTTTAGTGTATAGTTTGAGTTTTCGCCTTAAATAAAGGTTGAAGTGTTTAATATATTGTTTCATTTAACCAGTAGTTTTCTTAATTGAGCGCAATTGTTTTGTAAATAAACAACAATAAACTAGGGGTGGATTAAGGCAGTATCAAAGGTAAACATGAAATACATATAAGGCTAAAATACGTACTAATTTACATTTTTTAGCCATGAAACAGGACGGAAGTCCAGCAATTCAATTTCCAGTCATAATCAACCTTGTAAAATCATTCTAAGAGGATTTGATAAATTGAAGGAAGCCTGTTAATGTGATCCTTTTTTCTCACTATTTCAATACTATTAAGTCATTGGAAGGTAATGAAGTTTATTCCACTTGACAAAGCCTGGGTGAATTTTTTTACGCTCATTTTGCCAATGATAAATTGTTTTGTAAGAGGTATGTATAAATGTTTCCAATTACTTTTATTTGGTTTAAAGCAATTTTCTTCCTTGTTAAAATTTGAATTCGTATTTACCGGAAAAGGTTTATCTACTTAATTTCAAAGCTTAAACACGATTTGGATTAAGTATCTTTTAGAATTTTTTACATGCAGCTATGAAATTGATTTAGACGGAAAGTCGTCACATTTATTTACTTTAGGAAATTTATCTCACATTATATGTGAGGATGCTGAACAATCCTCTACAAATGGTTCTTTCGTCGCCAGTCTGGGCTGTGATGATGACATGGAAACTTACTCCTTGACCAATGATGGGAATAACCAGTCGTGGTCTGTTAAGCTGGATAATGTTTACAGAATTGATTGGATCTTTTTCAAAGTTAATTCTGGTGAAAGTTTTTTTGTAATTTAAAAATAAATATCCTTTTTACATTGACTCTTGATAGACAAACCCAATAATTCATAATTATACTTATGTTGAGTTTATGTATTTCAAGAAGCATACCAAGTCTACATTGACTTAAACGAAGCACCTCCAGTAAAATGTGCGGATGTCCTCAGGCCTATATATACAAATACAGCATCTTTGCATCAACTAATATTGTGTGAATATCCAGGTCTTTCAACGACGAAAGGAAACATAATCACCATCAAAGGAAATGGACCATTGAAAGTGTTTGAAATGAAACCAATAGGTATATATTTCATTAGAGTCAGATGAATTCATTTGTTATGTTTTTTTTAATTCTATGCTAGTACTTAGCTCAATATCTTTTTATGTCTATTTTCATTTTTCTTCATAGTATTGGATTAAAATATAGAATTTACCATAATTTATTTTCAGCTCTTTCTCCATTCAGACCAAATATGGTACAGAATTTTTCGGATTTTGGGGAACCAGTATTCAGAGCTTTAGATGGCAATATAGACACTTACTTCCAATCAGAGAAAGGAGACAACGCTTCATGGATATTAAGATTAGATAGACGCTATGAAATGAAGTGGATTTTGTTATCAATTAGAGGTGGTAAATATCAAGTTGAATGTATATTTTTTAAACTAAGAATCTGAGGTAGTGTACTATCAAATGTAATGCCTTTGGGATGTTGTTTTCCTTAGTTCTATTTTTCTACGTAAGTAATACATAATTATTTAGACCTATAGCTAAAATCGACAGTGATCACAATCATAATTATGTAACAAATATATATTTTACTACATTTAATTTATGACGCTCTCTCACTTTTCATAAAATGTATATATACATTTAATACACATGAAGAATAATTTTTGTATATCCTCGAAAATGACTACCGTTGCATACCAAGACTTTATGCTAATTGGTGTGTCTCCTAAATTGACATTGCTTTCACCAAACCTGCTCTTAAAATTATTAATGGTATTTTTTGGTGTGGATGTTATTGATGTTAAAATACCACTATTGATATTAGAATTAATTAACTATTCTTTCAGTCTGTATTATGTTTTTAACTAGGTACTTATGAAGTCCACATTAAAGATAGCGATACAGAAATGAATTCTATAACACTGTGCCAGTCATTCACCCTGTTGGGATTAAAGGAACAGAAGAAAGAAATAGAGTGTCAAAGGGAAATGACAGGAGATACTATTGTTATCAAAAGGACAGATGAAGGAGAACTGAGACTGTTTGAAGTGTATCCAATAAGTAAGTGACAAGTTTTGACAAGGCTTTCTCAATTTATGCAATATAAACATGCTTAACTTAAATATGCTTAATTTACCTAATAGTGTAAATATATGTAAAGTAGGTAACACCAAATATGAGATAAAGAGGAGGACGCAGTGTGTAAGAATAATTACTGACTATTCATTAGAGAATCATAAATTTGTAAATACGGGGTTATGATTAAAATGCGCTTTTAGACAAATTATCATGCCTTCATTGAAAAAGATACAGTTGATACTTCACTTAATCAACAATTAAGTTAAAAAACTAGAAGTACTGTGAGCAAGGAGCGCACTAAATGATATCCCCCATCCCCGCCTCCCATATGAATATACTGGAAACCCAAAATATGTGTAGGATCAAAAAGTAAAATAGGGGGTGCACAATGACAATATGTACGCATGTAATGAAGGTTCTGTTAGTTTCATCAAATTTCATTCATTGGTATGAGAGGAGTTGCGGAGAAGAGATGGGTACACCAAAGCATAAAAGACGAATGGACGGACATAACGATTACTTTATATTTCTATTTTTTAATGGAGAGGGTATAAAAATGGTTCATCTGCGCGCCATCTTACCTAAAAAAAGAAAATCAGGAAATCGTTCCGGGTACATTTCTGATTTTTCAGGGTTATCTCTCCAGTGGTAGGTTGCAACTTTGAGCAAATTTTTTTAAAAGACACAAATCTAAACATTTTTGAAACAAAAGGAATAACAAACCATCAAAACAATGTAAACAGGAAAGGAAAAAAAATAATTTCTAGCAAAGCTGGAATATAAAATGATTTAAACAGGTCATATGCATTACTACATCTAATGTTGAAGAAATAAATTTCTTCAAATTGGGATAATGATAAAAAGAATACATGTATACAATGTTTATTTTATTACTTTATTATTTTGCAGTAATTTAAGGAGTCACCCCTTAGGCTTGTATTTAAACTTACAGAATGTTTTCTGTTTCATTGTTTCAAACATAGTTTGTCCCTCACACCATTATGGACCAAACTGCGCTAAGTGTAGAAATGAGTGCGATTCGTGCAGTCAAATAACTGGCGAGTGTCATCAATGTCGTGATTTGTTCTATGGCGACTTCTGTCAGCACGAGTGTTTAGAAAACACTACATGTGAGCAAACAACAGAGAAATGTACAGAGTGTAGCGATGGACAGTGTTGTGGCCAAGACGTCATTACAGAATTTATATCAAAAGGTTTTGTATTTCAAATTCTATCGCATAAATATATATGCCATCTTTTTCCACTTTGAAATGAACAGAAGAATTTTTCCTGGTATTCCCCTACTCCATCGAATGTTATTTTGAAATATTCATGAATAAAAAAACTCTTTGTCTGTTCTACATTGTATCACTAAACAAATAACCAAATAACGAGGGTGTCTTTATTATAAAAAAAGGAGGGTGTTCAAAATAGACTGTATTTCCTACACAAAAATGTGTCAGTTAAATCTTATTATGTGCCATCATTTTTTGATTTTTTTAAAAAAAGACTAATAATTTATGTTATAATATACAGTAGAGTATCTAACCACTGGGTCTGGCAGTGATTTAATGTTTTTAATGAATTTATAATTTAAAACAAATAAGAATTTTTAAACTTATTTTATAAGTTAAAGATGAAGAAGACCCTATCCAAACCACACTACTACTGGCTGCGCTCTTAGGACTGGTTTTCATTTTGATCTCCGTTGTGTTTGTCATCTTCCTAAAAAGGTAATCCTTGGTTACTGAACAATTACTTGATTACTAATGAATATTTCTTAAACTGATAGTGATAAATTATACAGTGTAGGAGTTGTGTTTTAACAACGTCAAATTTCAGCGAAAATAAAATATCCTTTTCTTATTGTTGACTTTTATTCAGAGGGTTTAAATCCAATAACTTATTTTATTTTTAAATTAAGGACAAAAAATATAAGCAGCAAGGAAATTGGAATCTCAATGGAACTTCAAAGAGTTCTGTCAAATGATATGTCTGAGTTAGAAGAAATTCCTCAGAACGAGGCAGATTACGTAGAAGAGGAAGCCATTACCGTAGAGTATTGCAATCTGACGTCACGAAGGGTCTCCATAGAGCAATTCATTAAAGCGTTACCAGAGAAAAAGCGCAATGGTACACTGAAGAAAGAATTCGAAGTTAGTTACAGAATCATAGTGCTACGCACTCTATATTGGTTAACTTTTTCTCTTTTGTGTATGTCGAACCTATTTAGCGCCTAATGAATCAATTTAAAGTTATTGAAATCAAACAAGTAATTAAAATGTAGCGTTCAAATGATTTGTCAGAAACTTTTAAAAGAAACAATTAGAATTCAGAGATGTAATTAAAAAAATTAGAAAAAAATGATCAATTTGTTTTGGATTCATTGCAGGATCTTCCTTTTGGATTACTGGAATCCCATTCGCAAGCTCTAAAAGCTCAAAACATAAGGGATAACAGATATAAAGGAATTTATCCTTGTGAGTTTTTAAGTCAAATTAATATTTTTAAATGAATCAATAAACATTTGTGAAATTTGATTAAATTGATGTACATAATTAAAAAAAATCTTTTGTTATTATTTCTAAACGAAGTCTTATTTTTCCAGATGACTATAATCGCGTGAAATTGATCAAACCAGATGCAGCAGAAAACGATGATTATGTTAATGCATCCTACATTTATGTAAATATAAAACTACAATATCTATAAAAAATATCTCTGCAAATAGTTTTAATTGATCAAATTATGAATAAAAGATTTCATACTTTCGTTCTGGTATGCGATAGAGTGAACCCTTATGTTTTTTATAGGGATTCAACAGAGAACGTTCATATGTAGCTGCACAAGGTATTTTTATTCTACGATAATAAACTTTTATTTTCTTAAATAACCCCATGGTTTAAATGTATATAGCGTTTATTTAAAATAGTTCTATAAACGCCCTATGAATATAACGGAATTAAGGACAGATGATACAAACAAAAAAAATTATGCCTGGATTGATATACATGTATATTTTTTGGCCTTATTTCATTGCAAATGATGTAAATAACAAAGTTATAGAATATAAAAAAATTGTAAAGCTTCTGTGACGTTCAAGGGTCTGCCATTCTGAAACCATCCTAATTAACCTATACAAATATTTTTTTCACTTCAAATCCCATTTTTGTGAAATTTTGAATAAAAAATAAATAAAACTTCGCGGTAAAACTTATTCATTTTACTCATTTAAATATGACTCAATTGTTATTTTCAAATGTTTTGAAATAAGTTTGGTTGTATCATCTGTCCTTAATATCATTGCACTTATAAAACAAATCAAAGCAAAATATAAATATCTTTCATGTACATGTAATGCATTATTTCTATAGCGAAAAAAGCTATATTTATCAGTTATTATACATGTCATAGGCCCCTTCAATCCCAAGACATTAGAGAATTTCTGGAAGATGATATGGCAATGCAACTCCACAAGAATTGTAATGCTGACCAATCTGTACGAAGGCGACAGGGTAAAATTCTTATATCTATGCTTTATCATATGCTCAAGCTTGAAATAAAAAAAAAATCACCTCTCCAAAATCTTTCGAATATGTATTTTTAAATGATTTAAATAATGCGCGCACAGTAATTGATTTCAAGAGTAAACAATATCTTAGTTGAGCTGTGATTAAACATAAACTTAAACATTTTCTCTTTTTTCTAGATGAAGTGTCTAAAGTACTGGCCAGATACAGAGTTTGATATTGGTCCCTACACTATCAGACTAGACTCCTCTGATGTCTTCAATTTTTACGTTATACGTCATTTGGTTGTCCAACACAAGGTTTCCTTTTATTATGCTATTGATATCATTTTCCCTTCAATGACATAAACATGTCTATTTTTGTTAGCGGAAAAAATATTTTGCTCAACTTTTATATCCTCCATTTTAATGTTACTCGTTTTCTAAGGCAGAAGATGTTTAGAGCTACCGAAACATGCTTAAACAAAAAGTGTATAGAACAAATCCAATCGAATTTCATTTTTGTAATTGTCAGTAATGAACAATTGCCCAAGAATGCCTATGCCTCCATGGGACCTGATCCTACCCGCATTTACCCTTTTGATGATTTGTATTGAATGAATGAATTTTCAAGCTTAAAAAGTGTGCGTTATTTCCATATTTCATCGAAGTACTTCAATTTTCTCGGATCCCGATCCAAGTGTATTTAGACAAAGAAAAGACAAAGACACAAAATTCAGTAGTTTAAAAAAATCTCAGGACAATATCAGAGTATTTTATACAAGAATGATATCAAAGGTTAAAAAATATGTCCTACTATGAAATTGTTATCTTACCTTTAGGAGGATATTAGGAGAGTGACGCAGTTTCACTTCACCACGTGGCCTGACAACTCAGTCCCCGAAAATCTGACATCACTCATCTGTTTCCGTAACCTGGTCAAGAATGGTCTGACTTCAACAGACGGGCCCATTGTCATCCACTGCAGGTAAATATTAATTTTTGATTTTTATACGTGAACATTTCAATAAAATAGTATAATAACATAACACATGCTTTGTAATAAAGCATTGTTTAAATTGTAAAGATCGGTCGACAAATATAATTGAAATAAGCCTTGTTTATAAAAGCATGCACACAAAAATCTCTATCAAAAGGAAAACTTGAATGTAGTGTAAGTCAAAGCTAATTTCAGTAATAGAGGGACACTTCTGTCGTCATCTGTTGCCCAAAGGCTCAAAATCAAAAAAGAAAAAAATCACTGATTTTCAATTTCAATTTATCGTTGAAAAAGACAGTAGAAGATCGATAATTTGACTGATGTAAACTTTTCTCACAACACCATATCGGGGAATCAGCTTCCAAATAATTTTATGCCATAAATTTTACTGAAAGGAAATAAAAGTCTACTGAAAGGTAAGGAAATGTCAGAGAGTCATTGAGTGACAATTTGAGACCTTATCTTGATCATTCAGTAGATAGAATGGTTTAAATATCATATGTAAATTTAGTTTTAAAAATCCAGTCAGCAAGTACCTTCAGAAGCCAAAGATTAGTACTTTATAAAAAATATCCACAGCATGGATTGATACATATATAATTTGATTGTCAAATCCGAATCTAGGTTCATAGTTCTTCAGCAAAGGAAGCAATCCTTCGTCAATAATTGCTGTAAGACATGTCTCTCAAATTACGGCGAAATAAGTTGTACATGTATTTGCAAATAAAGTCATGAAAACAACCGTAGAATTTTGAAATATTGCCATAATCATATTTGCAGTAGCATGCCTCACTTAAATAATTGATAGCGCTCAGGAAACACTTTGAATTTGCGTATATAATAAGTTTGGAAACAAAAGAATTATATACATGTAAATTGTAATGATATTACATAAGTAAGAAAAATCGACGATGAAAAGTTGCATGGTACCATCTCGTTTGTCATATATACATATGAATGTACCTTAGTTGTTTTGGACATTATTATCCATTAGTCAATAATACATCCAAAATATGAAAATGATAAGGCAGACCCTGTGATGTCTTCACTTGGGCATATTGAGTCGACAATGAATTAAATAAGCTATTGTTTATTGACAAAATGTCGTCGATATATATACCTGTCGATTTAAGTCCAATCTACGTATGTCTATTTACATTTTTTATTTCATTAGTTGTAGTTAATAGTTTTCTTTTACTGAGTTAACATATATAAAGAACGTCATACGTTTCTAGTGCAGGGATAGGAAGGACAGGGACATTTATCGCCCTTGATTATCTCCTGGAAGAGGGCGCTGCTGAACATACAATTGACGTCAAAGGATACATCGCTTCTCTCCGACATCAGCGCGGGAAATCAGTACAGACATTTGTAAGCCTTGTTTTAAAAAGTTTTAAAAATACTTATCTCTATGCACTATCAGAAAAAGGCAAATATTCGAATCTTCAAGCGTTTATTCCCCCTTTCTCTCCCTCCCTCCCTTCCACCCCCCCCTCTCTCTCAAATAACTAAAAGAGAAGTTAATTACTTCCGCAGCTTCTTTTACTGCAATGAATTTAATCTTTTTTTTATTTTAGGAGCAGTACATTTTTCTTCATGATGCTTTAAAAGAGGGGTTAACAAATAATGCAGTTTGCCAGAGCTACTTGTCTGTACTTTAACCTGTAATTTCTATTGTACCTGTGAATGAGCAGACTAAATGAAACCAAGAAAATTAAAATTGTTCAAACAATTGTCAGATGTAAATGCGGATGTTTTGTAAAAACAAGTTTTGATTGGCTAGTGCACTGATGTTTGAAGCAGTAAAACGAGCATTAATGGGAGAGAAAGCTTTTCATCGTGATAGGCAGTTGCAATATTTCAGAAGTACTTGTAGGCAGTGCTAAGAGTTATGTGTAAAGTCAGATTTACAATGTATAACATAACGCATTTAAAGTTGTGTACTGAAGAATCAAATATTACATGGAAAATCCCAGAAAAATCAAGTTTTTCTACATATATACATAGTTTTACTTAAAATATGATATTCCTCGAACATTAATATACACGTAAAATTGATTTATATAAAAAAGACAATATCACAAGTTTTTAAAAACACGAATTTGTTTAAAGTGCTTCACAGAAGTTAACTTTGTCAGTGTTTCAAGCGTAGTACAACTCGATAATTATTTTTTTTTTAATTTGATTTCCTCAATCAAATAAATATTCTTTGTTTACATATTCTATGTTGAAACCTATTTTGCAAATTTGTACCTTGTGTTAAATGTAAGAAAAAATAAACGGAATCTAAAAAAGAGTTTGCTTTTTTTTCTTTCTAATAAATTGCATTGTCAAAATTTAGAAAATGTATTGTAATTTGTTCTGCAAACCAGTATGAGATAAATTGTGCTAGAGGCAAAATACATGTTTTCGACAGATGATTGTATCAAAGTTCAAATTCATCTATGTAACATATGGATATCTAAAATGTTATGGAACATTCTTTTACCATATTGACACGGAATATGTTACAACAAAATGACAAAAACCAAAACCAAAAAAAAAAAAAAAATGAATTAATATTCTATGTATTACGTAATTATTTTAGCAATGATGGCAGATAGATAACATTACATATTGCATATACAATGTATTTCGCTGCTTCTTACTCCATGTACTCTGACAGCGGACAGAAGCGTTAATTTAATTATAATAAACTCCAAACCCTTTCCAAACATTTCAATTTAACTAAATTTCCATTCCTCAAAGTGATATGGTCGTCAAACCCCTTTGGTTTTGAAGGAGGGGATGAACTAAACTTACATCAAATAGTTAACTATTCAAAATCGACTTTTAACAGCACTGGTGGATTTAGAGGGTACCGTGCCCAGACTCACAGTTTTCTTTTTTGTCCAAAATATACATAATATTTAATTAAATCATTTTTTGCATGGCTTTGGGCCCCTACCCAACGTTCACATGCTTTTAAGCATAAGTAAGTAATAACATTTAAATGCTATCAGCTAAAATCAAGCAGTTACAAATTATCAGAGAAAAGTTCTCATTTGCCAACCCCGAACTTACGGCTGTTTTCGTAATATGCAGTATTCACATGCAGTGCGTATATTTTTTTGTGTTTTAGTAAACTTTATCTGCATTCTAAACATGTAAACTATTATGTATTATAATTTGGTCTTCATTTCAATAATATAGGAGGGGTGAATTAAAGATGTTTTTAACATTTATGCAATTAAAACTGCATAAAGAAAATGATTGCAAGTTCTTTAATCATGATAAATCCTTAAAAAGAATAGATAATACATGCAAGAAAATACTCATAATCATTCTTTGTCATCTTTCATTCAATGTCTGTAGTTTTTTAATAGACATTAATGTATCCGCTTATAACTTGTGCTTTTAATTTCTCAATGAATTTGATTTTATATTCAAACTTGTATTATTTAAAAAAAAAAAATGACACCGCGTTATAGAATGACTAAATGTACCAAAAAATTGAAGTTTTCACCATCAATTCCTATTAGTCAGTAATGCGATTACTTATGTGAATGTTTTTATTTGATGTTGTTTTTCTGTGAATTCTTGTATCCACGCCTCGGCTGCAAAAGATCTTTACACACGCGCTGACCTAGTTAGAAGATTCTATCGAGTTCTGGTCATCATTTAAGTAATAGCCAAGAAGACTTTTAAGAACACACAGTGTATATTTTGGAAAACACCAGTATTCAGGCTATTGTGTGTGTTGTTCTCTGTATGATTTCTTTGCAGCTTGTTTTCTTTGTAAATAATAAGGCTGATCGCTCGATGTTTACATCTCTATATTTAGACAAGAATAGATATGGGTTACCCCATATCCAAAGATATTCGACTTTTAGATTTAATATGCTTATCAGTGTTTATAATGACGTTAATAAAAAAACTGCAATGTCTAGGGCCTAGTTATGGAACTGGTGTAAATTTCGTGAGCATGGTGAGGTCACCCAGTCTCCTAACAAACGGTACACATAGGCCTACATGAACCTGTGTCCGCAAGACCAACATTAGCCTTGATCTACACACGTGCGATATGGAGCTGTTAAACGCATCCAGCGAGCTCGGAGGAACACGTTTTGTTTTGCCGAGAAGTTACGATGGCAGACAAAACTTTTCTTTTCTTAATTAGATCATATGAATACGAATTCTGATTAATAAAAATTATACAATCCCTGTTGAACTATATATAGTTTGTTCTAACATTTGCATCTGCAACAACTTGTGTTTAAAATGGCCGTGTTAGGAAAATCAAGACCGGATCGGAAAATTCTAAACTGAAAACCTTTTTTGTTTTGAAAATTACTGAAATATGCTAATGTATTCGTCGCAGATATTACTTACATTATTCAAGTTCTATATAAAATGGTAAGCCTATGCTGAACTCCAACACGAACCCGAATGTCCGACCCAGTTCTCCGTTTTGCCACACATTTTATCCCCTACAGTTTACAAAGTGTACACACGTGAGCAGAATCCAGCCAGGGATTGAAAATTCCGTCATTTAATAATATACACACACAGAATGATTTATTTTTTCTTAAAAGGAAATTGTATGATAATTAACAGACTATAAACATGTACTT